TAGGAAAATATAGCAGAAAAACAGAATATGTGTTTCACTAAGTATATCTAGAACTATTGATACTCACATTGATGAGACCCGTGAAGATTTCGGGGTAGAAAAGGTCTTCAGCAACCCATGCTTGCTGTAAAAGGTGACTATGCTTGTCGTAAAAGGCGACTAACGAGATCGGAGGGTCAGGCTCGCTGACTTGGTTGATGCATGTCATCGATCCCAATTGCGTGGATCGATGCTCATGATATTAATCACTGGATTGTCTGGTCCAGACTCGATTATTTACAGACCGCCGTCATATAGCTGGAATATTGCTGAGTACGGCGTTAAACAACCAACCAATCAACCAACCACATTGATGAACGACATGGTCTGGTCTGTCTACCGGCCTTTTTAAAAAACCCATATATATTTATATATGTTTTAATACACATGCAACCTCGAAATCCTGTCATTATGGAGCAAGAGTTGTGTATGCATTGGCACCCGAGATGGAATGAGTACGAAATTGACCTTCTGCGCCAATCAACTTTACCTCACTTTACGTACTTTGCTCTTGTTTCTTATTTATGAATGATTATTGCGTAATTAATTTACAAACCATTTAATACCAACTGTATACTGTACACAGAAAAACAGCAAATTTACAATATAAGTAATGGGGCGAATGATTGATATGTTATAGGTCGATACTTTCAGTCACGCACTACAGTTAACAGGTTAACGTTACCAAGGCAATATTACCAACTAAATCTTAAAAGATACATCAGTAATCTATGAAGTGGATTTACACCAGTGTTTACTTTTGTCACTCAATAAATGCAAGAACTTAATTGAGGTCATTTCTGTTAAAAAAATAAAAACAAATAATAACAACTTTCACAGAATTCTTATTAATCACTTAATCGTCTTATGAAACTTGATGTCTTTGTACCTGTGGATGAACCAACAGATTGGGTCAGCCCGTTAGTGATAGTACCAAAGAAATCAGGGGAAATTAGAATTTGTATTGACCCTAAGCGCTTAAATGAGGCACTTCGTTGTGAGAATTTTAAGATGCCTACGATCGAGGAAGTCTTTTGTACATGTGACTTGTCTGCTGGAGTTTTGCATCTTAAACTTGATCACGAATCCAGTTTGCTGTGTACTTTTGGAACTCCGTTTGGACGGTACAGATGGACTAGACTACCATTCGGACCATCCCCTGAAATCTTCCCGAAACCCTCAAACCAAGCTTTGGAAGGACCACCAGGTGTCAAATTTATTGTGGATGACACGGTTGACCATGACAAGAATCTGGAATGCCTTATGCAGCGTTGTCAGAAATTTGGTATCAAGAAGGAGAAACTGAAGTTGTGCAAAAAGGAGGTTACCTTTCTTGGTCACATCTTCACTGATCAAGGACTTAAGTGTGACCCACAGCAAATAAAGGCTGTGTTGGAAATGCCAGCACCACAGAATGTTGAGGACATTCAATGCTTCGCAGTTCGTCAACTACCTTGCAAGATATTTACCTCGTCTGTCAGGAGTAATGCAACCACTTCGACAATTAACACATACTGACGTGGACTGGACATGAAGTGGAAACAATGGTCAGGGAAGCTCCAGAATTGGCATACTACAATGAAGAAGTAGAACTGATACTGCAGTGTGATGCTAGTTCCACTGGACTAGGTGATGTGCTGTTACAACAAGACAACCAAATTGCATACGCTAGCTGTGCCCTAACACCGTCTGAGTCCAGCTAAGCACTGATTAATATTGAAAAGGAAATGCTGTCTGACTTCAAAAGTTCCATACATACACAATTGGTCGGAAAGTTACACTGAAAAACAATCAAATCTCTGGAGGCAATAACCAGCAAACCCTTAAATTGTGCTCCCACATGACTACAGTCCATCATTCTGGCTATGAAGCAGTATGACGCCACTATCAAGTACAAGAAAGGTGCAGATGTTGTCTTCGCAGACACATTGTCAAGAGCGCATTTGCCAAGCACAGAGTGAAAGATTGAAAAGCCTTTCAGACAGGTGAACATGGCACAGGTTTGCCGATAACGGATGACAGGATCAAGCAGATCTGAGAAGAGACTGAAAAAGACGAAACTCAAATAAGTTTTGTTAAGTGGGTTGCCAGAGGAGAGATACTCTTTGCCGATGGAGTTATACCCATACTTCAACTGTAGAGACGAGATCACAAAACAAAATGGTCTCATATACAGGGGAGAAAGGCTGGTCATACCTTACAACCTAAGAACTACAATTTAAACCAGGATCCATCCTCTCTCCAAGGGATTGAAGGTTGTTTACGGCGTGCAAGAGTTGTATTGGCCGCACAAGTCTGACGACATTAAACAGTACATCAGAAAATGATGATCAAGAACTTATGGACACTAAAGTCCTGGCTGACTTGGTCGAGGAGCTAAAGCATCTTCCAAGTCAACAAAGAGAAGCATTGCAGACTATGATCACTGATCACGTTGGCTGCTTTCCAGATGCCCCTGATACTGCCAACAGCATAGTGTAAGTGAGTGAGTGAGTATGGTTCTACGCCGCTTTTAGCAATATTCCAGCAATATCACGGTGGGGGAACACCAGAAATAGGCTTTACACATTGTACCCATGTCGGGAATCGAACCCGGGTCTTCGGTGTGACGAGCGAATGCTTGAACCACTAGGCTATCGGGACAACAGCCCCCCACCCTGGTACATTTGCAGTTGTAAAATTAGTGATGCAGTTCCGACAGATCAGAGACATAGGTGTCTCACTACACATACGTGATTCATGATGTATACTTATTATATTGTCCACCCATGTCACAAAAACTGGATTGATCATTGCTATTATTCAGGACAACGTAGCTGCTTAACAAAAGGTGGAGCTGTTAAGCTGAAATTAGAGGGAGGACCAAGAAGTGCAATTGCTGTTTTCTTCACTGAAATTTGAACGGGATGATTGTGGGGTGTATTTGCTAAAGCTTCTGTTTTAGTGGAGGTATTATAAAATATATATATTATCTAATCAAGAAAACAGTGAGATTGGAGATTAAAAGGGTATTTAGGTGAAATTAGTCGTTTCATAACCTTTACATGAATTTGACCCCACTGCAATAATGTTCTCAGAACAAGAGGAGCACAAGAATACCAGCAGCTACATGCTTCTTTTAACATTGTGATATTTCCACAAAATGTATAATTTCGTTGTGCCCTACTTGAAACGTATTGCCCCAGGTATTAATTTAGTTATAATACAAACGTACCACATTTGTGCACCAAAATTAATTTAGGTATAATACAAACGTACCACATTTGTGTACCACAAAATGTAGACTTTTCAAGGCCGACATCATCCTATTTACGAACTTGCAATTGCTTCACGTTAACAGGGCCTCAGTAAGGTAACCTGCCAGAACATCCACGAAGTGCAGCAAGCTACGTCTATAGTTACTAAATGATATATGGTATATCAAACTTGTTATAAAATACAAATGATTAGATGTTTAAAATGTTACCCTATCTATAGTTAAATGCTTCCTTATTTGGATTTCGATACCATTAGGTATTAGTAACTCTACTTGAAAGAGTAACTCGTCCCGTGACTACTTACCCAGAGTGTGGTGTATCCAACGACCTGACACAGCCGCCATGAAAACCAACCACCCTTCTCCCGCCATGTTGACTAACCAGGAAGTAAAGCTCGCACGTATGTTAGAGTAGGCGTGAATCGAAAGTTCCTATTGACATGTACAGGAAAGTAGTGTTCATGTCGTACATTTGTTACCAAGAGGATATAGTTTACATGTAAATGCTGGTGCGCTCGCCTTCATTACAAATCCATCTGAAAATACCACCAACACTTTCATGATAACTAGGCTGGAATTGAAACATAATTATAATTTTGCCCAGCTTTTCAATAAAGATTTCATCAAGGAAGACTTGGTTAAGTCATTCAAGGAATGTTAAGGTAGACAATAAGAGGAATTTACTGAAGATGACACGGAGCTTCATAACATGATACGTAAATCTATCCAATACTTTGAGTTTTCATATTTTACACACTGACACTTTTAAAATTAGGTTGGTTGATCTTGTGGCCAGGCTAAGTGACTTGTATGATCGCGTGATGTTGTATTCCGACGCGTGGAAGATTGGTCACAATGGCAATCACTAAGTTGTCTGGTCAAGACTCAATTGTTTGCAGGGTGCCGCCATACGGTTGAAGTATTGCCAAGTGTTACTTCAGGCAACTAGCAGACACAAGTATGCTTTCAGGACAAAGTGTGTGAATGGTGGGTGCTATCCATAGACCAGGAGATGCTTACCCTTTTCGCGAACAGGTGTTATCACACATTTTTCGTCACTAATGATGGGCAGTTAAAGTTGCATGAATCAGGTACATATTCGCTGAAAGGAACCTGGTCAAATGAGGTGAGGTGTGGTGAGGTGAATTTTAACGTCACGTTCAAGATTATTTCACTCATAAATGAAGTGCATGAATTAGTCCGGACTTATGTCTTGATAGTGCAATCTCATTTAGATACCATGCAGCACTTTGTAAGTTTGACTCACACATTGTAGAACCTCCGAGTCGGGCAGTCCTTACTTTACCCCTAACACTGAGCCCCAGACAGCGAAACAGCAAGTGTAATCTTTTAATGTCTTTGGTATGACACAACTCGGGAATCGAACCATCGACCCCTTCCCCTCTTCAGACACAGAGGCGGTTTGTTCAACAGATGGTAGTAATCAAATTATATTACATGCATTTTGTCTTAGCCTTTGCTGTAAGACATCGTTATTGATTCACTGCAAACCATCATCTTCTACAACTTTACTCCCCTTTAAGCAAGCCATTAACTGTAATACCGTCGTGCTCAGTGTTGTTTACAATGATTGTCTTGGCTAAAACTCTCGTGCAAGAATAATGCAAAATGAGGTAGTGACATTACAGTAATCGACCTAAAGATACAATGTATATCAAATAAGGAGGCATGATGTGTCACTCACCAATTATAACCTGTATCCAGAAAGCCGATGTGACCACGGTGACAGTCAGTATCCACACACCCGACATGTTTGACAACCAGGAAATTGTTTCCGCTTGACTGTATAGCTGGGACACCTGATGTTGCTCACTGTCAAAATAAACATGGACATCTATGAGCTGGGGGCTGCTTACATACAATGTAAATATCTGAAATGCATGTCTGTCTTTGTCCTGTATCCGTACTTTGATACGCATGATACGCGTTTTCCATCACATAAGAACCTGCAGGACATATTTGTGCCTTCCACACAGCTCAGGTGGAGTCAACTTTCCTTGGACACACTTGTCTCACTGGTTATAGCAAGGTTGATACAGTAATGTCCTGCTTCACGACCTGTTTCTGTGGTCTAGTAGAGCGTCAGCCTTAGAGCGGGAGGTCGGCGGTTTGATCAAGTGGCCTCGTCATACCAAGATTAATAATTAAGATGGTACTTGTTGTTACCCTGCCTGGCGCTTGCATTACAGTCCCAAAACAAGGACAGGTATACTTATTGTAATTGTAATTGTGTTATGTTTAGATAGTATTTTTGAATGTTGTGTGAGTTATATGCTGTCGCCTTGCTTTGAAGTTAAAGCATTGTTAATTTAATATTTTTGTTTGTGCAATGATAATACCATCCATGTCATTATATGCAGTTCATCTCGTAGTATCTCAACCCTAACGCCTTTACTTTACCACTCACCACTGGTATATTTATTTGTATCCTTTGCCATGTGCTCGTACGGCAGTTTGTTTACACTTCCGGTGGTCTCGCTCTCAGTGCATCTCTTAAATTGTAATAATGTTTGTTTATCACTCTTGTCAGGCCAATTGACCTTGTTTTAGTATTATTCTCCCATAGACGTGTTATCGTTAACCAACATCCATGTAGATAAATTTCTTATATACTCCCATGATATCTTTCACTACCGGGCATGTGCAGTGTTAAGGAACGTCACATGTGTATTTATGTAAATTCCTTTCAGCCTCCATCTTGCCGTTTAACCATCGTTCTGTCAAGTCAATTTGGTAAACACCACCATTTGACTTCTTATCCATCTGCAATCTTCATCCCTGTCAGCAGAGGGATACTTTACAGCTTTATGCTTTGTAATGGCTGACAGGACTACCAGACGTCGCAGCAGATCTGCTAGTCTCAACACAAGTTCTGCTAGGGTTAACGTGGCGACCCTTGACCCAAACTAAGATGGCGACCACCGCAGCATGCCCAGAACTAGGAAGGCTCCTTATCTCACTTTAGCTGACCTTCGACTTCGTCTCGCCAGTCAAGGTGTCAGCGTGCCTGCATCGTGGAACAGACTGTTCCAGCTGTATACTGAAAACAACCGAGGGATTTCCATGTCACATCCCATAACAGAGACGACAAACACCATGGCTTCCGTTTCCGAGTGTCAACAAGACTTACCAAGCAGTAATCGCAACACTAACTTGCCGGGTACCATTACCAGTTCATCAGTTTATCCAACAAGTCCCCAGCCTGATGTATCTAGCTTGACAGATTCAGTCCCTGTGATCCCCTCGGTGGCGGGATTGCAAAAAGAAATCGCCGAACTTAGACAACTGATCACAACCACAGGGCTCAGCGCGATGCCTCTACTAGGCCACCCTACACCGAATACCCTGAGTGGTATCGATACTTCTCTCCTGACCCCCGCTGGCAACTCAACAGAGGTTCCATCAGACTCCTTACCTCATATCCACACAGTGTCCCCCACCTTAAGGAAAAAAGATCCAGGAAGATAAGGAAGGAAGGAAGGAAGGAAGGAATATGTTAATTTGGCTTTGTTGATATTACCTAACCAGGACAGTTTGGATACTAGAGTAAATGAATTCGACGGGAATGTATACTCGCTCAAAGATGACCCCAGGCCGAATAGGACACTGACACTCGGAGAGTTTATCCAGGCATTCGGTATTTCCAAAGACAATTATTGTGAGAACAATGATGCCAAAAGGAAACATCTGGATGGCCACGAGCAGACTGTGATCGAACTTGCTACTCTGTATGGTGTGACATGCTACTACGACTACCACAAACTTTTCGCAGCTCGTGTGACAGCTTTTCAAGCAAAAGCAGTTGTCATTCGATGGGACATGAGGGACTCAAAACTCTACAGCCTGTGTTCCTCAGGGCGCTGTACCAGGACGTGTTCAGCGTGTCAAAGTGTAACCCACGGCACCGACGTCTGCCCGAGTATAGCTACAGCTCGCCGACCAATTGGCAGGCCTCAAGGCAGACATGTTCCATATGACAAAAGAAATGTGGACAGTGATGCCACGTACATAGACTCCAGAGGTAGACCTCGTGTTCGATGTGATGGACAAGAGATCTGTAACAAATTTAATGATAGCGGCTGTAGCCGCCAACAGTGTCCTTTCATATATACCTGCCTCATTTGCCTTTCAGGAAAGCACGGCAAGACAAAATGCCAGAAAGCACAGGAGGATTGACTACACTATGCCTTAGAGAGAAAAAGTACTAAGCAGACATTGACGTTAACACCTATTAACATTGAGAGATTAAAAGCGGACTAACAATTCCACCCAGACAAGGGTTTCATCGATTATCTCATTTCTGGCCTGGAGACAGGATTCAATCCAATGTTAGACTCTGTGCCTTAATCAAAAGTGGAATGCCGCAACAACCTTACTGCCAGGAGAAATCCGGTGGATGTGTCCGCAGCTGTCAAGAAAGAATGTGCCAAGCAGTACGTTATAGGGCCTTTCCAGGAATCCCACTATGACACATACAGGGTTAGTCCGCATGGACTTGCCGAGGGGAAATATTCTCGGAAGAAACGTTTGATATTGGACTTATCGGCCCCCCATGATGATGATACCGACCCAAGCATCAACCAACTAATTGACAAGACATGATCATGCCATTTCTATCATTATTCAGCTCGGAAGAGAGGCCCTCATGTGTAAGGCAGATATAACTGATGCCTTCAAGCAGATTCCATTAAGCCCCGAATACTGGCCATATTTCGGGTTCAAGTGGGAAGGACTGTACTATTTCTACACCCGGCTAGCCTTCTAGCCCCAAAATATTTGACACTGTCTCAGGCTTTTTGCTGGATTCTGAGACACAATCACGACTTCCTTCATGTGCTACACTTCCTGGACGACTTCCTAGTCCTTGACCCTCCAAGCCACGACGCTGTATCGACCATGAGCACTAGACTGTCTCTCTTCAAGAGACTCAACATTCCACTAGCTCTCCATAAGACACAGGGACCCCTTACAGAGATCGCGTATTTAGGCATCATTCTTAACTCAAATCATATAACTGCTATGTTACCTCAAGATAAACTCCAACGTATAGCAGAGCTCCTTGGCAGATACTCCACCAAGAGAAGTTGCACCATGAGAGAACTTCTCTCCCTGCTCGGACACTTGAACTACACTTGTAGAGTGATCGTGCCAGGCAGGTCGTTTGTCTCCTATTTGATCGAACTTTCCACAACTGTTGATTAGTTGCATCACCATGTAAGCTTGTCAGGCGATTGTAAAATAGATTTAGCTATGTGGAACAAGTTCTTGATAGAATGAAATGGTATTTCCCTCTTCCACGACCTCCACATCTCACCTACCCCAGACATTGAGCTTTTCACTGATGCGGCTGCTACAGTGGGACACGGGGGCTATTACCAAGGTGCCTGGTTCCCTGAAAAATGGTCGGAGGAAGTGCTATGTAGTATGTCCGGTCAATTGTCTATGGCCTTCTTGGAACTCTACCCAATCGTCGTGGCGGCTATTCTCTGGGGTCATCTCTGGGAGAAAAAGCGTGTTATTGTGATAATCAGGCTACCGTGTTCATCATCAAGAAGGGTAGATCTAAATGTAAAGGTATCATGTCCCTCATACGCCGACTCACTTGGACAACAGTCAACAACTTTGTGGTATTGGCCCATCACCTTCCTGACTCAGATAATAACATTGCTGATTCTCATGGCGTGCTGCAGTTGATACACGTCACTGTTAAGACCTACCTAGCTGGGGTGAGGTTCTTTTACCTGCAACGTGGCATTACCACGATATTCGACCATCGTGGATCCGGGGCATTGAACTGACTGCAGTCCATCATGAGAGGTTACAAGAAGTTGCAAGCTCCGAACCCAAGAAAACGACTTCCCACCACCGACACAGTGTTGGCGCGAATCGTGTGTACACTGCGTGCAGGAGTACTTGGACCCTTAAATGACCTTGTAATGGAATGCATGTGCTTAACTGCCTTCTTTGGGTTTCTCAGATGTGGAGAAAACACGTGTGCTGCCAGGTGTGCTGTTTGAGTGACATCAAGTTTGACTTTGCTAAGAGAAAGTGCACTATCCTGCTGAAAGCTTCCAAGACGGACCCATTTCGAGTAGGCGTCCTCATAATATTGTTTTCTAATAGTCGCTTGTGCCCGTTCTCAAGTTTGAGGAAGCTCTTCCATACCAGAACTCTTCAGCGAGCTTCTAGTGAGGATGCACTATTTGTGGACGCTCAACACCAGCCCATCACACGGGCAATGTTTCTGTCCTGGCTCAGCAGAGTGCTGACTAGGGCCGGTTTTAACTCAAACGAGTATAGTGGGCACTCGTTCCGTATCGGTGCTGCCACCACCGCAGCTAGCGCCCGGGTGGAGGACCACCTAATTAAGACTATGGGCCGCTGGAATTCAGACTGTTTCCAGAGATATATTAGAACTTCAGAAGAGACTCTGCTAAACGCACAGCGGTCGTTATGTGGACCCTAATCTACAATACAGATTCCATGCCATATTATTCATGTATTAGTTCGCAGTTATCAGGTTTCGTGACCGTGTATCTTACTCATCTTTGGGGGCACTCGGTCGTACACAACCTCGTTTGGGCGTCTCAAGCCATTGCATGCCTCAGGCAACAGCATTACATGGCTTGGGGCCCCCAAAAATTCCTTACCTACCTGGTCCGGCGCAGCCACCAGTTCACATTCCATACCCGCAGGGTACCCCTATCATTCAATCTAATAATAATCTGCTCCTTTTCCTCAACACCTCTCTACCCGCAGGTTAGCCCTATCCACGCAGGCCAGCACTGCCCTATCCACGCAGGCCAGCACGGCCCTAGAACTAACCCACGTCCGCTGGACATTCCGTGTGCGACCGAGCAGCCCCCTTGTATATATCATATATATCCCAATGTGTATTAAATTATATTGTTTTCTTTACCCTTTGTCGTGTTTTCATTGCACAAAATGTTAATTTAATATTTTTGTTTGTGCAATGATAATACTATCCATGTCATTATATGCAGTTCATCTCGTAAATCTCAA